ATTTTCATCTTAAAGATCATTCACCTCCATGGTCAAATTTATTTCTAAATTTTTTTTTTTTTTGGTAGCTATTGTAAATGGGATTGCATTCTTGATTTCTTTTTCAGCTAGTTCGTTAATGGTGTGTAGAAACACTACAAATTTTTGCATGCTGATTTTGCATCCCGCGGCTTCACTGAATTTGTTTATCAGTACTAAGAGTTTTTTGTGAGCCTAGGTTTTTCTGTGTGTGAGGTCATTTCATCTGCAAACAGGGACAATTTGACTTTCTTCTTTCCAATCAGAATGCCCTTTATTTCTTTCTCTTGCCTAATTGCTTTGGCTAGGACTTCCAGTACTATGTTGAATAAGAGTGGTAAAAATGGATATCCTTGTCTTGTTTCAGTTCTTAGAGGAAAAGCTTTCACCTTTTCCCTGTTCAGCTAACTGTGGGTTTGTCATATATGGCCTTTATTATATTGAGAGATATGTTCCTCCTATAATTAATTTGTGAGTTTTTATCATGAAGCGATGCTGAATTTTATTAAATTCTTTTTCTGCATCTATTGAGATGATGATATGGTTCTGTCCTTCATTCTGTTATGATATATCATGTTTATTGATTTGCATGTGTTGAGCCATTGTTGTATCCCTGGGATAAATCCCACCTTGATCAATGTATATAATCTTTTTGATGTGCTGTTGGATTTGGTTTGCTAGTATTTTGTTGAGGATTTTTGCATCTATGTTCATCAGGGATATGGGTGGGTTTGTTTTTTTTTTTTTGGTGTGTCCTTGCCTGGTTTTTGTATAAGGGTAATGCTGGCCTTGTGGAATGAGTTTGGAAGAATTCCCTCCTCTTCAATTTTTTGGAAAAGTTTGAGAAGAATTTGCGTTAGTTCTTCTTTAAAAGTTTGGTAGAATTCAGCAGTAAAGCCATCCAGTCCTGGACTTTTCTTTGTTGGGAGACTTTTTATTACTGATTCAATCTCATTACTTGTTATTAGTCTGTTCAGATTTTCTGTTTCTTCCTGGTTCAGTCTTGGTAGGTTGTATGTGTAAAGGAATTTATCTGTTTCCTCTAGGTTTTCCAATTTGTTGGCATGTAGTTGTTCATAGTAGTGTCTAAGGATTCTTTGTAATTCTGTGGTGTCTATTATGTGTCCCTTTCTGTTTCTGATTTTATTTATTTGGGTCTTTTTTTCTTAGTCTAGCTAATGGTTTGTTGTCTTTACTTACCTTTTCAAAAAAAAACTTGTTTCATTGATCTTTTGTAGATTTTTTCATCTCTATTTTGTTTATTTCTGCTGTCATATTTATTACTTCTTTCCTTCTACTAATTTGGGGCTTTGTTCTTGCTTTTGTAATTCCTTGATGTGCATCATTATGTTGTTTATTTGAAATCTTTCTCCTTTTTTTGAGGAAAATATACTTTTTGAATGACAGACAGCTTTCCCCCCAAATCATTTTACTTCTCACTAAACTAATGGCATGGTCTTTGTTATTTGATTTTCATTTTATTTTTCAGAAATGAGCCCCTGAGTCCTGAGTTGGTGGCAGCTGCATCTGCTGTTGCAGATTCTCTCCCTTTTGACAAGAAGACGACCAAGTCNATTTTCAGGTGGCTAGTGTCTAATACACATAACATATACATTTATATATAAAATATACCTTGTAAATGGAATTTTAGCAATTTGGTTTAAAAAAAACTTCTGTTTTAAGTGAGATTGTAGTTTTTAAAAGACCAATTGACTGGTTAAACTTTTCTTTTAGGAGGCTACACAGTTTTTTGTCCCTGAAAAAGAAATAGTAAACTCAGTAACATTATTAAAAATAAGTAAATAACAGAATAAGAGTTTCTCCAAGAAAATCAACTGTTTTCAGTTAAATAATTTGCTAGTTTTATGCACAGTATAAAAATCTTCAGGCCTGTTTAATTCTTTTTCCTCTTATTCTTATGTTTGAGCTGACATCTTTTCACTTATCCTCTTTATCTCTTATTACAGTCATGTATCACTTAATGACAGGAACAATTTGAGAAGTGTGTAGTTAGGCAATTTCATTGTTGTGCAAACATTATAGAGTGTACTTAGCCAAACCTAGATGGTATAGCCTACTGCATACTCAGGCTGTGTGGTATAGTCATTATAATCTTACGGGACCACCGTCGTATTTGCAGGCTGTTGACCTAAATGTTGTTGTGGTGCATGACTGTACTTTTTGCCAGATTATACTATTTTTTGCCCAAATATAAGTGATGGCACTGCTTTGATTTGGAGCATGATCTTTATCAGTTCTTCCATTGAACATGT